ATATATATATATATATATATATATATATATATATATATATATATATATATATATATATATATATAAAGCAAAAGGCAAAGAATGATGAAACATTTAAAATACTAGAAAATGCCATTAGTTAATGCAAACATTAAGAATTGAAATTATTAATTAAATGAGGATAATATGGTAAATTCACACTTTTTCATATTTAACAAAACTAAAAGAAAAATAAGATAATAGATCATATTTTTATGGAACACAACTACCCATTATTATTATTTAATTCTAAAATAAATTTTTAATTTTAAAAAAAAACCTCTGGCAAGCATGGAAGCGCGTGTGGAGAGGCTAGTTTAAATAGTGGACATGTTTTGTGGGTTTTGCAATCAATGACATGTTTACTAATCTGTAATTGGATTAGGATGAATTGAATTGAGGAGAATTATATTCTGGATTTCTATTGAAGTTGTTTACTAAACTATATGAATTGAGGAGAGTTAGATTCTGAATTCCTATTGAAGTTGTTTACTAAACCATATGAAATTGGGGTATGAGTGGTACTAATTACTAAAATATCCTTATTGTTGGGTTAAAATATATGGCAAATTTTAAAATTTAAAATTATGTGAGGATATAATGGGTATAAAAAAATAAAAAAAAGAATTCCTAATGGGTTAGTTATCCATGAATTAGAATACCTCCTCACACTCAAGAATTGAATTCCTCCAAAATCATGAATTCAATTCCTAATTTTGTGTGGGCCCACTTACTTTTTAATTCTTTGATGTGAAGTAAATGTAGAAATCCTCCAAAAGTGAAATCTAATTCCTGATTAGTAACACTACAAACTCCCACCTCCCAAAGTTTAAAACATTTTGGATATTTTCTTTTTTCAAAAAGTTATAAAATTCAATTAAGGGATCATCATTTGACCCACGAGTTCACGGGCCAATGGGGTCATCAACCCCAACAAGAAAAAACCCGGCCCAACTCGTTGTGGGCTATGGGGTGGTCCGGCCCGCTGTTTAGTGGGCTGGACTTAGGCTTGGGGTCTAACCCTAAATTTTTTTACGCTTTCCTCAATTTAGCGAGCATTCTCCCATTCTGAAATCTCGAGTTGTCGGCTTGACTTTCTATTTCTAGCACTTTAGGGTTCCGAAATCAGAAGATTTGATCTCATTCTCGGTTTCCCCTGTTTAAGTCTTAAACAGTTACAACTTTCCTCTTCTTCTCTGTCACTGTGAGTATTGAGCCTTGAACTCAAATCCTTCAAAGCTTTTGAATTTGCACTGTAAGTCTGTATTTTTCATTCTCTAACATGCTATCTTTGTTGTTAAATTTGGTGTTTCTTTTCTTATTCTTCATTTTTTTTCACAGATTTTTTTTTGGTTCCTGAAAACAAAAGGAAAGAGAAAGGGGATGTTGTCGGCCTTGTAGATACAGGTTTGTCGAGTTCCTTTTTTTATATGAAATTGTTCTCTTACATCGAATAAGATATGGCTTGTGCAGATGTTCCTTATTTGCTTCTGATACGTGGGTTTTTTGTTTGTTTATTTTCTTTTTTAAGCAGAGTTTTGTTTTGGTTTATTTTCTGGTTCGTGGTTTTGCTGCCGTCCAAATTGGTTGTCCAAATTGAACGTTGTGATTTAGAACATGTCAAGTAAGAAAGAAGAAAAAGCTGAGGCTGCTGCTGAAAGGATCAAGGCTGCAGCCTTGACTGCTGCAAAAGGTCTTAGTCGAGCTCAGGCTGAAAGGGCGGCAGCTGCTGCTGCCCGCAATGTTAATGCTTATGGGCAGAAGGAAGAAGGACCCAGCAGATGGCAGGAGAAAAGGGAAGCCAAGAGACAGATGTATTTGATGAGTACTGAAAAGGCAGTGAGATTGGGTGAACGAAAAGACCTCAAGTCAAATGTATCTACCATTGCTGGTGCAGCTTCACAATGCCAGAAGTGTTATCAGCCCGGGCATTGGACATATGAATGCAAGAACGAACGTGTTTACATTTCGCGACCGTCTAGGACCCAGCAACTCAAAAATCCTAAACTGAAGATGAAGGTCTCAGAATCCTTCGATTTGGATAATCCAGATAATATTAACAAGGAAGAGAAGAGTGAAAAGCAGTCAAAGAAAAGCAAGAGGAAGCATCGGGCAACTTCTGATT